GGTGAGCTGCGGTCCCAAGCTTCTGGGGCTTAGTGCTAACGGGGTGGTAAATGTGCTGGGCCAACCTTTTTGGGGTTGGTTTGCGGAGACGCAAATATGCATGGGATCAGCTGGCATGTTGGTATCAGATATCAGGAACGTTTATTGCACAAAGCCATGGCAGAATTGGTTGCCCATGGTTCATTGTTGCCCTCTAAAAAGATAGAACCAATTTGCATCCTTAGGTTTCAGCATGTTGAACATTGATCAGCTACCCTTTACTATGACAGGTGAATGATGGGAGAACGTTTTACACCCAACGAGTCGAAGAGGTTCGAGTCCCTTCCTAAACTGATAGCTGATAGTGATTTACATCCCTAGGGTTGAAAAGGTAGAACGCTGCCCTTACCAAAATGAAGACAAGAAATCATCCTTTGGGTCGATGCATGCCCTTCAAGTTCAGGATATCCTTCACCAAAACTATGACAATCCACATCCTTTGCGCCCTGTTGGTTCGTGTCTTGTGACAAGTTTTTTGCACATCAAGAGATCTGAAATGGAGGTCAAAAAAAGGCGTGGGGTTGCTAAGGCTGGGTCCCCTCAGCGCTAACCATGGACCAAGGCTTACCAGTTGTTCCCATCTCTTCTGCGGGGACTGCATCGCTGAGTGGTTCAACCAGCATCCGGACACCCAGACTTGGGCACAAAGGGCCAAGTCGGCAGGCCCTGATCGGTGTGTGCCTTGCCCGGTGTGCAAGAAGAAGCTGAATGAGAACCAGGCGAACCTTGGGGCGGAATGTGTGTGTGTGTGTATGTGTTTTTTACGGCTGATTTTAAAAGGGCAACCAAAGGACGAGTTCAAGACTTTGATCTTTTTCTTTCCAGTTTGAACCATCCAAAGCGGCGCAGCCACCGTTGAGAGACCCGTACCTTTGAACAAGCAGGCCCTGGGGTTGTTTTCACGGGGAAACCAAAAACTGCGCGGTGTGATTCCTCAATCCTTAACTTGGACTACGAAAGGGGCCCCCTTTGCAGCGGTTCGGACAGATATTCATTGGTCAATGCTTTTGCTTGCTAGCGGCCCACCCTGGAAGGACCTTTGCCCGGTCTGCCCCAGCGGTGAGGGTGAGAATGTCTTGCTGTGGAGGACTGCAGCTGTGTTCGTGACAAGATGATTGAGGCTTACCAAAAAAGCACTCTCACATCCTGAGTGCGTGGACAATACAACTGCTTGTGGGAAGACAGTATTCTTAGCAGAGGTCTGCCTTGTTGTACAGCCCTTGCATAGTTGAGCACATTGCCTGTCCGACCACAGGTTGTTGATTTGTTCGAGCCTCGGGGTCTTTAGTATCCCTAGGCGCCATCACCAGACTGAAGTCAGCAGTTTTGCCTTTTTGGGCTTTCGTTGTTTTCCCTTTACACCGGCGAACAGTTTGTTAATGTTACTAGAAAACAAGAGTTTGGACTTGTGTTGGCGGGAAGTTAGCACTGGATCAACCCGGCATTGACCATGGGTCTGATCGGTAGGCCCTTTTCACAAGGCACAGGCGTGGACCGACATGATTGATCGTGGTTGAGCCAACTTGGCCCCTGGTAGGATGATCTCTGGGCTGAAAGTCATTTGCCAGAACAATCCCAAGCTTCGGACTGACGGTCACTGCGACTGGATAGGTGAGTATGGCACATTCCAGAAGCATTTCGAGTCATGCAAGAATGTCCCACTGGAAGCTCCGGTGGAGGCCAAGGTGACCGAAAAGCCAACTCCGGTTCCTACCAAACAGGCAAAGGCCGCTCCCACGCCTAAGCAGACGCCAAAGGCAAAGACCCCAGCGCCAGCCCCCACGGTGCCCGCGCACGCGGTGGCTGCGCCTTCCCTACCGGCAGCGCCCACGGCACCGCCACAGGTGCCAGCAGATCAGGCGGTGAGAGCGCAGCCCCAGCCAACGGCGCCTCCGGCGCCTGCGGCTGCAGCGCCGGCGGCGCCTGCGGCGCCAGCACCTGCACCAGCGCCCTTCGTTCCCCAGCCGGTGCCAGCTCCGGCGGTTCCCATGCCTGCGCCTGCTCAGCCTGCGCCCACCACACAGCCCCAGCCCCAGCCGGAGGTGAGAAAGAGACCTGAGGAGGTGAACCCCGACAGAGACGCCAGAGACGAGGGGTATAGAGGACATGCTGTGGGAAACTTTGAGGCCACTGGCCCCACCATGGTGCCAGTGCGGCTGGGTGAGCTTGTCGAGATCTTGGAAACTCATCCCACAGGATGGAGCTTTGCCAAGAACATTACCACCAACAGCCACCCTGGATGGGTTCCTTCCTGGATTGTGCCGGAAGCTCCGACCCCGACCGTGGCTACAGCAGTTCCTGCACCGGTGCTTGCGCCGGTGCTTGCGCCAGCTCCCAAGGTCACGGTGGAGGTTCAGGCGCAGGACATGTTTGCAGCTTGCACAGGCTATGGGATTCTAGCGGGGGACGCCTCAGAAAAGGCTGGTGGACATAAGCCCCGAGTGATTGTTTGACCTTCGCCAGCTGAATCGCTTTGGACAGTCGTGCATGAGGCGTTTGATGACGCACTGAAGCTAAGAGAGGGCCGAGAGCCAGCCGCTGCACAAACACACAGTGTCAGCATCAGGGCAGCAAAGTCAACTGGAAGAAAGTAGTTTACTTTACACCAACAAAATGGGTTCATGTTGCTTTCCCTTTAACACCAACCAACCCAAAATAGGTATGCCAAGCAACCCGACGCGACGCCGATATAATAAGTTGATGCTCAGCCATACTGTTGACCCAGCCTCAATACCTGGCATGAAGGGTAGTAGGGGACAGTCTGAACCCTTGAAATTGTTGACAAGAATTTGGGAGGGGCTCCCTGAATACCAAGCTTTGACTAATAGTGATTGTGCAGCCTGCTAACTAACACACCAACCTGACATCTGCACTACCGACAACCACAAAGTGACATGATGAGTCATCCGCTGAACAGACTTACCCGCATTGTGCCGTGTAGCTACAACCTCCGAGGGATGTGTGTTTTTTTTCTTTTTTTGTGAAGGGGTGCTTTTTGCCGACCCTTTAGAGACGGAAGGGAACATACAAAGGGCACCCTTTTCCCGAAACTGGGATCATTTCTTTTTGACCACCCATACTTCCCGGGGCGAAAGCCCGAATGGATTCCCACTGTTCCACAGCAATCCGAAAGAGGATTCCCCCGGATGGGTTGTAAGGGAGTACAGAATGAATCAAACCATAACAACGGGTAGGGTAGGGCGTCCCCTTTTAGAGGGTCAGCGGGAAAAAAGTCCGCCAGGCTGATTAGTTCAGAAGCATTCATCAGAGTTGTCCCGCAGCTTTCGGGATGAAGCCTTTGCGACAGTCAGGTTGGGATTTGTGCGCTAAGCGAGGGGCCCAAGCAAATCAAACAACACTTGTCGAGTTCAGGTCCCTTCAAATTAAGGAGGAACACTAAGCGCCCCCCCCCCCGAAATCAGAAAGCTTCCCGAAACACTTCTAGGAGGTTGTAAGAACCCTTCGAGCGGGGTGGGGGCCCTGAGGGGATGGGTTCTGTCCCGAAGCGCCTCCGGGCAGGTGCAGCCGCCTGAGCGTCAGGAGTGGTCGGCGCGAGACCGGGAGAGGGAGGCTCAGCGGCAAGAAGCTCAGCTGATGAGGGCCTTGCAGGCCTTCACTTCTGGAAGTGACTTGTCAGAGATTTGGTGGGGCGGTGTGCATTTGATATTTATTTCTCTAGTGAAGCGGGAAACTGAGAGGAAGCGAATCAATTCCGGGGTCCCCTAATGTGGAGACAAGCTCAACTGGCGTCTATTCTTCACATCTCGGGCTGGCTGTTCGATCAACTGATGTTTGGGTATGCGCAATGTCTTCGATGTCCTTGGCCATGTCTTTGGTGGTATGCTTCTACAGTATGCGTTCGTGAGGTTGGGATTTTCTTACAAACATTGGGTCGCAAATTGCAGCGCACTTCCCATTTTCAGCGCTCTTTGAAAGTGCTCCAACTGGTTCTTCATGGAGGCTGCGGCAATTGACAACCGGTCTTTAGCGGGGCTGTTTCCAAGATGCCTCATGAGGGTGGAGAGATGAGACTTTGCTCGGCCTGTCACATGTTCGCATGGCCGTGCTGTGGGGTTGTTAAGCTAGAGACCCCTGGTTGAACCTCTGAAGAGACGGCGTGAAAGCTTTGCAGCCAGAGATCGCAGCTTCAAAGATAGAAAAGTAACCAGAACAATGCCAAAGAAAAAAGTCCCGCATCAAAGACCATATGCAATCATGCTTATTGTTTTCACAATTCCATGAGAAAGGTTGGGCAGACCGATTGTTCTTCTTTATGTGGTGCGAGTGTGCGGCGCCCAGCATGTGACCATGGTGGATTGAGATGAATTGTTTGTGGCGTCTCGCATGATCATCGGAAACCCTTGATCTGATTGTGTGGATGTTTGGGAAACTTGCTTTGGTTTTTGGTTTTAATCACGAGGGAACAGAAGGACACCGCAATTTTCGAGGAATCCCTTCCTGCTGCGACCAACTAACCCATAAAATTATGGGACAAATCCAACCAGTGGATCCCAGTTACCAGTACGGGAGGCAGGCATTTGCCCTGTTCAAGTTTCAAGGTCGGTTCCCTTAGTTACCTACCGACAAAAAGACACCACCGTGTGTGTTTTGAGGTGACTCGCAGATGTCTTTGAACGCCTCGGACGTGGTGCAGATTGTGGAGCGCCACAGCTCGGGGTGGACTTTTGGTCGGAAGTTGATCTCAGGTGCAGCCGTTTCAGAGGGCTGGTTCCCCGATTGGGTGTGCAACCCCAACCAGTAGGGCCGAGCCCAGAGATCATCATGACCTTTTCGCTGCTTTGTGCATCAAAAAGATCGCTTTGTGTATCAGGGTCCCTGAAAGGATTCGTTTGGGCCAGTCAAACAAGCACCTTACAGGATCCCCTTGTAAAGCAGGTGGTTTTGGGATGAATCCTTTGAGGGCCACTGATTCTGCGAGAAAAGTGGCGCGTGTTGTTTCGTGCACAGGTGACGGAGTGGACGGGGGCACTACGTTTCACCAAGCACGGGAACTGGCATTGAGCGCTGGTGTTGGAGGATCATGTTCAATCACGTTGGCTGTTCAGCATGGGAGAGATTTGCGGGACGTTGTTTTTCTTTGCAGTAGTGACGGCGGAGGTTGCTTGTGGAGTTCATCGTGTATTTTTTGAGCAGCTGCCTTTCAATTTGCTGGACAGCAGTGTTTGCAGCAATACTGCAGATGGATGATATCTTGCACCAACGGGAAGGACGAAACCTTATGAATGCGACAGACCACGTACCGACTGGTGCAGAATTTTGTCCACCCACAGTCTGTTTTAAGCGCCGCTGTCCCACCTTGTTCTTCTTACCCCTATCTTCTTGATGGCATTGCATCGCGCCTTTGCAAGGCTGCTCCGGAGTCAGGGCCCTGGGGCGGGTTTGGCAATGGGACTGGGCAAATGACGAAGGCTGCGGTTCGGTCAACATTTACCAATTTTGTCTATGGTTCATTTGGAGGGACGTGAGGGACTCACTAAACGTCAAGCAAAAAAGGAGGAGACTCAGTAATTCTGTGGTGCATGTTGCTTGGATGCTAGGACTTTACCTTTTGTCAAACCACTAAAAGTTAAACTTTTAGCAAGGGAGCAGAAAGCAACCTGTCCCATGTCCATGTCCACTTGGGGGAACAGGTTCTTTTAGAAGTGGCTCGTGTTGGAGAAGAGTGAAGCTGGGCCTTTGACAATCTTATGGGGTTGAGGTTTGACTAAGAAATTCAAATTAAGTCACGATTGTAAGAGGATAATATGCAATGTAATTAATGGGCTTCTTACAATGCGCAAAGTCGTGACTTGCCCTGGTGCGCCCGAGCAAGCTGATCGGATTAGGAAAAAGACCCTGCCCTCCTCTCCCAGCCAGAGGCGGACCCTGCCCTTCTTTGCCTCCCTCCCAATTGCGGCCCGGTTAAGGGCTTAGTTTATTTGGAGGAAACCAGGGAGGGGGGGCAGGGGAGTTGGGGAGGGGGAGGGGCGGATCATATGAAACACGCGAATGGTACCTGGGATTCGCCCAGCCTCGCGAGGCTTGGGGGTAGCGACCTTGGCTTGTACCTTTCTGCAGGGGTCGGTCTAAAGGAAGCCTGAAAGGCAGAGCCCTGCTAGGGACCCAGATGTTCCAGGCACATGTGCTTGGTATGTAATCCCTTGATCGGAACCCTGGATTGAGCAGAACCTTGGTTTTTCCTTTGGTTGATTTTCAGTGCGTGTATTGTGCAAGTGGTGATCCGGATCACCTGTATCTTTGGGATTGGACTGGCCACTTTCGGACCAGGCAGGTATGGCCATAAGGATTCCCGCCCCCGGCCAAGAAGCGTCCAATTCTCGACAAGCTGAGTTGTTGGACATAGTTTGCATGAATTGTCAAAGTTGGGCCCGACCTGTTATTTTTGCCTTTGGGCTTTCCCTTGAATAGCGCTGATTTTTGCAAAGGGTAGGGTTGGTGTGGCCCAGTTTTCTGCTCGAGGCCGGCAACGGCTGGGTGAACAGCGCGGGTGGCTGTTCGCAGCAAATGCCCCGATCCCTGCACGGCTTTCTGGCTAAAAGTTCGGCATTTGGCCAATTGATTTGCCCGCTCTCGCTCACCTGTTGCCATTCCTTAGGGTCCTTACTTCGGGATCCCTTTCAGGGTTGGGCCGGAGGCCTTGCAGGGAAGCGCCTGAACAGGCGGGCACAAGAAGTCAAATCCGAAATGTCTGGCACAAACTCAATGCAAGACAGCATCCCTAGGCTACATTTAGGCCCAATTTAGGCCAATCAAGCCTTTCCAGAGGAGCCCTGTTGGATGTTGGGTGATATCCGGCGTACTGGGATGGGGATTGCGTTTGAAGGTTGGAGCTTTTGCAGGCTTCGTGCTTGGCGTGGCCAAGACAGGTTGACTTCAAGTGTGGCTCAGTTAGGGCACCAAATGAAAGCAGCAGCCCTCTATAAGGGGATGATCTGTAGAGTTTCTGCTGGGTTGGGATGGCATCCTACGTGTCAACTGGCAGACGCTGAAAATAAGATACGTTTTGCAGATGGTCCTTCATTTGCCAACAGATGCTTGGACCTAAAACCCAGCATGAATCCGTCTACAGCATTTGCCCCAATTGGGCGTTCCTTGAGCATCTAGCGGATGCAGGCGCTCAAGATTCTCCGGTGAGAGAAAAAGCAGATGCGGCCCTGCCCCAAAAGTCCTCTTCGGCAGGTGGTGCCGAAAAATGCGGAAGGCTGCACTTCACTGTGGGAATGTTAGTGTTAAGCTTTGTTGGCTTGCCTTGAGCCGTTGGGGGCCACATTCTTCTTGCGAACTTCGAATACGGCATTCGAGTCTGCCGTAGACCTTCGGGGCGGGTGGGCCTGACATCTGAAAATTTTGGATTTCTGGCCGCAATGCCGCTACGTACCTGGGTTCGAAAGGAAAGAGGTTGGTTCGGGGAGGGCTTGTGAACCCAGTGACTCCCGACCCAACAATGGGTTTCGTTGGCACAGTACCCTCGCTGCAGATCTGGCTGCGTAATGTGACCAGTTTTTGCCGTAGCGTTGCAAGCCTAGGTGTCCTTGAGAAAACAACATTTTACCACATTGAAGCCAGTGCTGTCTATGTTCAGCCAAACTGACGAAAAGGACGCCTACAGTTGCAAGCGTTTGGCGGCAAAGCTGCGTTTTCCCAGTTTGCACCTGGCAGGCGAGCTGAAAAGCATCCCACGTAGCGCTTTCTTGGGACGCGCAGCCGGCTTAGCCTCTTGGAGGTCAATGTTGTCAAGCTAATTCGTCCCTTGCACCACAATTCGGGCACATGCAGCCAAATCCATCCGCGCCCTGTGTAGTTGTGCTGCAGCGACACCTCCAAGGTTCTACTCCGCGCCGCTTTTGTAACCATGCTGGTAGAACCCAACGTCAATGAGTCTTGGATGCTGTGGAGAGCAGACATTGAATTCTCGCTTATGCTAACCTGGGACGCAGGACCAGGATGGTTGTCACACAAATCCGACACAGGGTGCAGGGTGCAGGTGATCATTGCCCAGTGCAGTACGAGGTGAGACTACACAGAAGGGCGCTAAACATCGGAAAAGCTGACTTGGCACGTGGACCTCCGAGAGGGACAAGGTGTGCAAGGCTGCTTAGAATGTACCATTCTTTCGGCTTCCCCGCTCAAAGTAGTGAACCCAAAAAATAACTCCCTTTTTTGCCAGGGATTCCTGGGTGCATCAGCCGGAACCATGACTGCCCGAAGCGTCCCGCAGGATTTAGCTATGCTTTGACGCTTCTGAGCTGACACGACTGGCAAATGCAAGCACGCGAGCTCAAACTCAGATGTTGGATTTGTCACGCTAGAAGGCCCTTCAGGACTGCGTTCTTGATTTAGCACCTTCAACATGTCAGCCAGCAGAGAAATGATTGATTTGCGTTGCCCAAGCAATTGCAAACACGGAGACTTCCAAGCATCACCATTCTGCTGATGTCTCCGCGGGCCGGCGTGACGCTGCTTGCCTATAGACAAAGCAGCATAGTCTCAACACCATGGCGAGTCGGGAAGCTTTCGGAAAGGTGAGATGGAACACCTGCACAAGTTCTGGCCGGAGAAGCAACCGTTGGTTGCTGTGGGGGCCGGTCATGACCCACATGAGTGCCAACTGCACTTGGCTGGGAATGACTGACTGCTCATTCTAATCTTCGATTTCTACTGGTCTTGAGTGAGCTGAGGCTGGAGTCTGTGCGGGCGCTGCCCAAAGTGGAACTGCACGCCCACCTCAGTGGATCCATTACTCAGCAGAAGCTGCCGCTTGGGCAGCTGGAGAGGTTCGGTCAAACCATGTGTGGGTTAAAGGGTACCCCTTGGCTCGTTTATATAAATAAAGGGAAACCAACGGAAAGCCGGAAAAGCCATCCGTTTTGGGGGTTCCACTAATTAACACACATTCCACATACACACGGAGCACACACCCTGATTTGTCTACGCCCATTTGGTGTTTGGGACATGGGGGTCGAGCTCGATTTGTTGTTCCCCGCGTGTTTTGCAGAGAACCCAGGACGATCCCGATAAACTGTCAACTGTCCTGTAGGGGAAACGAGCAGTTTTGACTGTAGCACGGGTACCCAGAAAGGCAGTGAATGCCGTCCTCATTTCACAAGGTTTCGTGGGTGCCTCTTGGGGTTGCTATAACAGAAACTCCTGTGCGGGAGTGTGTTTTTTTCGAGTGCACCCTTGTTGGGCTTGTTTGAAAGGGAAACCAAAGGAAAGCCCCCCTCCTATTTTGACGCATACCCATGTTATTTCGCATATTCTAGAAACATCCATAATATGCCAAATGTGTTCAAAACGGGATGCCTCTTGAAGGGATCCTTTCATGGCCCCCCTTTAGTGAATATCACGAGCAGTTTCCAAAATTCAATGCTTCTCTCTTGGACAACTCCTGCTGTTTAGCGGCACCGTCTCGATCCCTTTGCGTTTAGTGGGCTCTGCACCAAGAATGGGATCAAAGAGTTCAGCCAACAGATAATTGTTCAGATAGAGGCTTCCCCACTGAAGATGGAATTGCACTATAAGAAAGACATTTGCTCAGAGGCACCATCTACATGCATTGTTATTTGGTGGGTTTGGAACAAACGAATAATGGGCACAAAGAAGCAAGCGACCGCAACCCCTACAGGTTGCAGCTGACACCAAAAGAAAAGTTGTCTTCCAGCTTCACGATGATTGGAGGGAGGGTATACCACTTAAATACTAGCAGGCGAACCACTTATTACGAGGATAGGGGTTACAACCCAGGCTATAAACCAATGGGTTATTTTTTGGATGCTAGCCTTTTCGCGGTGGTTTAAAGTTTAAAGGGAAGCCGAAGCGGAAACTATCATAATCAAAACGGTGATCCTATTTAAACACGTACCCACGTGGGTAGACTGGCTGCTCGAATGAGGTCGGAGCTTTTGGAGCGCAAAGGCAAGGGCAGCTTCACGGCATTCGATTGTCGAGCAGCCACTCGGCGCGTCCGAAGTGGTTCGGAGCTTAGGAGTTCCGGAAGGTAGGCGTTCTGTTGGGGATACCACCTGGGCGCATTGTTCCCTCATGGAAACCATGGGTGTTATTTTGGGAGCCTGCACGGCAAACCTGGCTGTTGGCACGCTGAGTTGGAACCCTGAACGGACCGGTGGTTTGGTTAAAGGGCGTCCCTTTCCGGTCGATTGCCGTATTGAGCACCAGCGAGTTTCTTCCTTTCGGTTCCCCTGAAAGCTATCAAGTCTTTACTCAGGTCCCCAGAGTTCGGAGCCGCTCCGGGCCAGGAAATGGTTCACGAGTCAGTAGGCAATTGGGGAGGCGCTGGGGACTCTGGGACAGTTTTGAAGGAGCTTAGGACTTGGGGAGTCAATTTGGAAGGGCCCGTTTTGATAGACCCCCTTTTAAGGCTGGTAACAGCATGTGTGCATGCTAATTGTCACGAGTCATGCTGGGTCCGAGGTTGGCAGGAACTGACTCAAAAGCCTTGTGTCACATAGCCCATTTGAGCATGCAAGATGAGTTTGACCCCAAATGCAGGGGACAATGGGTGGTGTCCGCGGCTTCAGCCAGAACGCATTGGCGAGGTCCAGGATCCACGCCAAACCAGCATGTTATGAGGCAACAGCGAATCGGCACGCTTGGCATAAACGATGGCCGTGCAAAAGTAATCCCACACGCTCATCTGAGTGTGCCAACTGAAGCTGGCCCCAAACAGCTAGGTACGTGAATCAAACTCGCGGGACCCCAATGGCTTTCCTTTCTGGCTTCCTTTCAAATGAGCCTGAAAAAGAGTGCCCAACAAAGTAATCATGCATCTGACTTTGAGCGGTTGATGCATTGATAGTTTGCTTTTCTTGTTGCTTATGCTGTCAAGTGGTGCCAGTTGTTGCTTGCTAAGGCGGTGGTATTTGGTGCCGGTTTTGTTGCAGGCACATGTCTGGCACCCAGTGTCCTTAAACTCAACTTCTATTTGGACACACTGGAGCGCTGTGCCTATTCTCAACCTTGAAACATCACCTCGGCTGCTTAGTCTCTTCCAAGGACCTTGCCAATGCGCTGGAGAAGTGTTTCGACTACTTTGCCAAGGCCCGGCCAAGCTGCTTCTTGGGTTTGTCTCCGAACTGGAGATAATCCCCCAACATGAAATGTTCTCTTCCTTGGTTTCTTTGTCAAGCAACCCCACAAAGGGTACCAACTCAAAACAAGGCAGGCCCAAATTGTTGGAGTTGTGGTGTCAAGGCATGCCTTGAGTTGTGGGAATAAGCTTGGTTGGGACATCAAAGAGGCGCCTGGCACCCACAAAACGGGACTGCAGCTTCCTCGTGGAATTCGCGGAGAGGTTGCAAGCCCTGGAAGTGCAAACTTGAAGTTCCGAAAGTTCCCTTTTGTGCAGAAAATGGTTGGGGACCGACCTGGCAGGTGCCATGGGCACTCGGCCATTTGCAGCCCAGCCCCTGAAAAACCAGATGGTTGCACCATACGGAGGGGTGCCCCCCACCCCCTTTCCCCCTCCAACAGTCGGGGGTGGGGGGCTGGGGGTGCGGAGGGCTTATTTTGAGCTGGGATCAGGTGGCGAGTGTAGTCACCGACCTGGAGACGCTGAAGGCACTGGATGGGGTTGAGCTACGGCCTGCTCAGTTGCGCATTCCTAAACCCTCCCTGCCGATCCATTGCAGCGGTCGAAACCCCAAGATTTCAGAAACCCAACAGTAAAACCGTTCTTTGTTGGCCAGAACTGCCGATCCCCATTTTGCGAAAGAAATAGGGGAAACCCTTTCTGAAATCTCAATTGAAAAATGGGTTTGGCCAAACCTCGATTGAGCAGCAAAATCCTTCAGCCGGTTGACACAAGTTCATTTGTTAGCTGCCCGAGACATAATTGCGTCAAAGAATATTGACACTGCTCAGCCGTTGTTGTCCTGTGTTGGCCTTCCTTTTTTTTTAGTCAGGCGCTTGCCATGGCAGTTTGTTTATATGTGCGGATGTGTCATGTCGACATGGCTCCAACACGACCACTGTTTGGGCTTGGGCATGTTTTTGTGAATGTTAGTGGTGAACGGCAAGTTCGGATGTTTGTTGGCCTGGGGAGATTTTGCTGTAACCGGCCCATTTTGGTTGCAACCGCTCAGATGTTCGTTGGCCCAGTCTAAAATGCGGTGTTTGTTTTTGTTTGTGTTGTAAATCCACCTAGAAGTGAGCGACCCCGCTGTCAGGAGAGCACGTTGCATGTGTTGGAAACCTTCGCGGCGCCTTGGCGGATGTGGTACGATTTGGGTTGGTGTCAAAATAGGGGAACTCCCCAACTGGGAAATCCTTCCCCAAAAAAGGTACGCTCAACAAAACACCATATGCATCGAGAGACTTGACTGGGAGATGCTGGCCGGGCGTGATGGGGAGCATTGTGGACCCATGGGCCTGAAAGCTGGGCTAGGGCCTGAGAAGGCCATAGGTGAGAGCGATAGCCCCGATGTCCATGATTCAATTCAAGGTGTTGCCTACCATTCCGGCCCCCCAGGCTTGGAGTTCCCGCGAAGCAGCCGGACGATTCCTTGCGGCGTGCTGGACATGCCTTTTCTTTGGAAATCTGACAGCGGTAGAGTCGGCATGGGCAGGGCGATGTGTCGCCAGATGGGTGAAGAAACGCTGAGCTCTGCTTAGGCAGAGCGATGTATCTACCTGGAGCTGCGGACCTCTCCCAAGCAGTTCAAGGCCAGCGAAGTGTGGCTTCAGATGGGTCAGCCCATGAGGGCTCGCTGGCCTATACTTAGGAGTTTGCAGCCATCTTAGAAAACTGCATGTTGTTAGCATTTTGTTATTTGTTGTTTGTTGCTTTGTTTCTGGTGTTTCAAGTTGACTTAGGATGTTTGCTTTTTTGCTGGCAAAGCTGCCTGGCGTTCTTTCAAGAGTCTGGCATGCTGCGACCGCAACATGGCGCGGCGCAGGCGCTAGTCGCAGAAGCATTGCTGAAAAGTTGCACCTAAAATTCCACATAGTAAAATGGCAGAAACATCGCGGATAAAGTTCCGACTGGCAGACAAATAGCAGCTACAATTCCAAATGGCAGCAAAACTGCAGAATGGCTGCAACATTGCAGAACAATTGCAGCAACATGGCAGACAAATGGCACCTAGAATTCAACATGGCATAAACATGACAGAAACATGGTAGAAAAATGACAGGTGATACAGGTGCCTCAACAATGAAGCAAACAAGCCTTCAACAATGCAATTACCGAGTCAACATAGCAGAGAAATTGCAGACACGCGGTAGGACATTAGCAGAACAATGGCAGACAAATTGCAGCCGCGACTCCAGAACTTCTTGCGACAAATGAACTCTTAAAACATGCACACCAATTCCGGCCCGAAAGGGAGAAAGCCGAGCCGCTATACGGTTTATGCATGCGTGGTACGTCGCTCTGTCTTTCCTTTCAGGGTACCCGGGTACCCTTTTGTTGTCGTTTTCGAGGGAAACCAAAAGACGTCACCTGCATTTGGGCGGGTTCTCCCGCTTATATGGAGACAAACGCACAAAATTGCCCCTGGCCTGGCAAATTACGCTACATGCAGTCGCAGCCGTTGTTACTGGTAATTCAGCATTCATTACGCTGCACAGGCCGACCAGGTGTAGGCTAAGACTCTTGTAGCCAAACCTCAGGGTCAGGGTTACTGTAAGGGAGCAGGTACAAGAGACATAGAAAGAGAGAGAGAGAGGGGGTGACCCTGGACAGTCAGCACTCACATCATCCTAAATGGCCAACACTGCTTGTTAGGTATCAGGCGGCAAATGCCACTAGGACAGTTGATGACGTAGGATGTGGGCAGCCTGCCATGTTTTGAACTTATAGCCTTGCATGAAGCAAGCGAAGGTTGTCGACGGCGGCGACGAGACTCCTGGCTGCACGTATTGCGTCGAAATGTGTTCTGTTGTTTACGCCCCGAATTCTGCGGCAGCGCAAACGAGGCATTCACACACTGGGCTGTGAACCACAGTGTCATTCTGAACTCTTTGGGCTGGTGGTGGTGAACAACCGTGGACTCTGAGAGTTTGTTGCTACAAAATGTAAGAACAAAAGCAACTGAGTTTTCCGCTTGCAGCTGATGCTAGTGCCGAGCACTTGCAATGCTAATGCCAGTGCTACTGCTGCTGCCAGTCTGCCACTGACACCGCAAAGGGAACGCCAGCCCTTATTCAGGTTCAAATGCTGAGATCGACTTCCATTTCTCGGAAAACTAGATAACGGAAACTGGGACCCCAGCCCCGCCCCCATCCCCCTCCCACTTAGAGTAGGAGGAGAAGCTTGTGACAGGTGCTTCACCACAAAGATGCAGTACTTGCAGACAGTGCGAGATGCAATCCAAGAGTTCCACTCAGAGGCACGGGTGGCTTGCAGATGCTTCCAGACTCCAGCGGCGATTCCCGATTTTCTCCAGCAATCCTTCTTGTCAAAACCATTTCTGGGAAAATGATCCTTGGAAAGAATGGTGAAGCGGCACCAAGTATTACCCAGGCAGTTGTCAAAGGGGGCCCTTTGGAAATTGAGTGTATGTTGCGCCGCCGTTATTGAGGGAAGTGGCAACTGTTCAGTACTAAAGCCGGACGCACAGTGCATGGATGTATTTGGGGGTGTTAATGCCGTTGTCTTGCATGATGCCTTTGAAGGCATCTTTGGGGGATGTCTTTGGAAGGTGATTTGAGGGTGTCTTTAGGTCCATTCTCTGTCCGCTGGCCTCATCTCCGTTCTGCCTGAACTGAGACACACAAACGGCTACACGTGTGGGCGTCCATTTGATAGTCACTGCCAAAGATTTATATATATATATATTTTAAAAAAAAAAATGAAAAAAAAAACATGTGACAATGAAAGCCTGCAGCCTCTATTCACCAGGCTTCAGCCAACAGAAAAAAAATCCCGTCTTTGGGGGGGCTGTCTTTGACGGATGCTGCAATGTGTTCCTGGAAGGGGGGTCTTGGGAAGCCTGTGTTCGGGGATCTTTTTGGCAACGAAAAGTCGCTATGTAATTAGGTATGCCTTTAGGGTTGCACGTGTCTGCATTCGGGCGCCTGGCCTCTACCAGCGTTCTTTTCTATCCTTGGAGTGCTCCCTTCAAAGGCGAATGAGTACCCAAAAAGGGTGCCCTCTGTACAATCTGCCGTGTCGCCCGCCCTTGCGAATGCACGAAAGGCCCTGGCGAAATTCGGCTTTGTCATGGAGGCGGGGGGGGCAGAAAGACCGGATGCCGCATGAAAAGCGTTCAAGTACCCCTGCGTGTTTTCTTGGCAACAACCCTAAAAGGGTAAGATAAAATCTATGTGCTTCTATCGAAGAATAGGACTGACTGTGCCAACCCAAGGTGCAAACTAAATCCCGCCATGAAAAAGCCAAGAGCTGCCTTGCCGGCTGGCTTCTCGTGCGAGCAACCTTTTGAACAACTACGCAATCTATGCTTGCAGATCCTGCCGTTTGTTTGTTTTAAACTAAAGGGCGCCTTAGCCAAGTTCCTTCCTGAGCTTAAAGATTCAATCCCCTCCCTCTTTGCATTTACGAGATCAATGCATGAACAAAGGCAAACGGAAATCATGTGTATGAACCTGTTTTGACGGCAACGCGTCACTTCTTTGTAGATTCTGAATAAAAAGCGCACAAAATAAAACGCATAAATATAATTCCAAGTGGGACCTGGGGGATAGCGCGAGCGAGAGTAATATGGTCTACTAGTACATGACCTGTAGCTGTCGGGTTGCTGGAGCTGGGGGTCGCGAACCGCCCGGATTCGGCTTTCCCGTATTGAAAGCAGTTGGCCATGGAGTCGTGAAATCTCCTTTTGGTGGCGTTGGCCAAATCCACAAATTTCAAGGCGAAATTTGGACTGGAGAAAGAAGAGGCAGCACCCCCTAGAACTGATTGACCAACTGTGCGAGGTTTGGATTGCCATATCCTTCCACTTTGCTGTTCGCGGGGACTCCCACCCCCCTTTCTAAGGTAGGGGGTGATGCATGTTTCCAAAAGTAGCAAAAGATTGGAGAAATACTTGTCAAGTTGGCTGCATGTACAGCAAGCTTAGCACACGATTGCTTCAAGCAGCACTTCGGCATGCGGGCCCAATGGGTCAAGCTAGTACCAGCCCACTTGGCCACCTGCTACTTGGTTGGACCTTGAGCCTTGAGTTTGTCCACAAATGTTCACTTTTACACTGGCCAACCAAGAAAGAGATCTTCATCAAACCACCAAGCTCGTAAATTCGGTGTTTGCCGCAGCGGAGGCATTCTGTGCCGTGCAAAGTACCAACCACTGTTTTGTGAAATGTAAGGAGCTAAGCAATTACAAGCAGGATATCATCCCATGATCATCGAATAAGTTGATCCGAAACTTGAAGCTGTCCTAGTCAGAAAGCTGTGAGATTTACATGTTGCCCATCAGAACCTTTGATGGTTGTTTCCATGTTCTTTGCATCTTGCTTTCGCCATGTGTATAGTTTCTGTGCTGGGCCAGACTGCCGTTTGACGCGCACAGGCCACTGGCACGTGTGTAAGTTTAAGTTTCAGCGCCAGTACCACACAACCCCATTCGAATGCTTTAGGCCCTTCAAATTCTAGTTCTGGACATCTTGCCCGAGCGCCAAAGCGACAGTGCCTGGAGTTGGGGCAACTCTTGTCACTTGAGGTAAAGGTGCTTCTCAGCCTGGACCGGGGGAAGGTGACCTGCAAAGAGTCTGCTTTGGCCTGCTGGCCGCAGATGGCGTATTGCTGACTTTGGAACCTGACGTCTCAGGGGAACCCCTCTCAAATGGTTGTTTCCTCACTACAAGGCGGTCCTCCAAATCTATCCGCAGTTCGCCATTGAAAATTTGAGAGGTTCGGCGAACATATCTAGAGCGTATATTGTTTGGTAAGGACATGCGGGGCTGGGGATGTACTGTATCCAATTTGTAGTTAAGCCTCAAAAAGGCTCCCTTGCTCTTCGACCAGGGTCACTGGGCCAGCGGGTGCTGGTTGCCCGGCTGCTTTTCATCATGACCCATCTTCGTAGGGCTGAGGTATTTCAGCCGTCACAACCTGTCGGGCAAGTTTGTCGCGTTAGCTGAAATCGTCCTGATGACACCCGGAAGAAAACATCACGAAGCGCACAACGGACGGTAAAGCCTGCCCCAAACAAGCTTTAAGCAAGTTTTGGCAACGGATCATGCCGCCAAGAAAGACCTCGCCTTTTTCTCTTTGAGAGCGGCAAGTATCGTTGTCGGCCAGAAATATCCCAAGCACGCGTCTCAGGCTCAGATCGATGATGTTCTGCATCTTTGCAAGGACCGGAAGCCGCTTGAAGAAGCTCAGGCAAAATCCATCCGACTTTAGAGGAAGCATCGCCTTTTCGGCCAAGGCTAGCTTCCTTTTTGGGCGGGGTACTGCTTTTTGGTTTGACGCGGCACCTTGCGGTCAGTGACTACAAACGGGAAACTCCATCAGCAATTGATGTTTGTTTTAGCATGTTTTAACCCACCCACATTTGCAAATGGGTGTGTATTTTGTTGATTATCCCCTTGTTTGGGCTTGCTTAAATGGGAAACCGAAGGGAAGCCGCCATTTGTCCAGGTCCCCTATGTCGGACACAGATCCCAGTCTACAAACAAGACAACAGGAGCATGCGGACTTGGTGGTGGGCATCGACGTTTGTGGCAACCCCTCGAAGCCCAGCGTGACGCCCTACCTGTTGCCAGCTTTGCTGGCGCCTCGGATCAGCTTGAGATGGACACCTCTAGCCTCAAGGAAAGCATGGAACACGCCATGTAACACCATGAGCCATACAAGAAGACACCTACCATGTAGACCCCATGGATACCCCAAACAATAACCACATTTTCCATTTTTATCTAGACACCACACACAGGGTATACACTGTATACACTCCTTCAGGGTAGTGGCTTGGTGGTGCAAACCCTCCTGGAGAATGCTGCTGATCTTCGGGGCTTTGGAAACCGCTTTCTTTAGGGAGCAAACACAGGGGTGTATTCTTGTTGAGGATCGGTGCTTTTTTGCTGTAGCCAGCAGAAAACCGGACGCACCTTATGTCGAGGTACCCATATGTTGTGTCTGGGCCAGCAGAAACAAAACCTTTCTTGCCACAAGTGTGTTTCCCTTTGGGATGCGTTTGAAAGGTGTGTTGAGATGCAAGGCCATCACTGGGGTTCGAACAGGCCGAAATGGATAGGTGTATAGATTAATATATATATATATATATGTATGAACTAAAAGAACGGATAGGCCAAAAGCTTAACATATAGCGATCAGCTTCAGCGAGTCCTAATTTGCTGCAAGAGTCTCTCTGCAAGTTTCTTTGCGTAAGATGCGCAAGTTCGCTCTGCAAGATTGTTTGTGCAAGTTCTCCATTCAAGCTTCTTTGCGCAAGTTCGCGTCTCAAACTTCGTGCTCAAGATTGTCTACCCAAGTTATCGATGCAATAGTTTCTTCGCGCATTGTGCAAGTTTCTCTTTGCAAGTTGTGGCGCGCAAGTTATCGATGCAAGTTTCTTTGGACGAGTCTTCGGTTCCTGTGACAAGCTCTATGTGCAAGTTGCCCTTTGCACGTTTCTGCGTGCATGGCAGGGCGTTGTTCTCAAGCCAAGTATGCATCGACCATGCCCGATCCACGCAAAAGGTCGCCTGCGCAAGGCCAAAAGTCTCGAAAGTCCGCAGTTTTGCACAGCGACGACGTAGATTCCTGCAGAGGGCCGTACGCGCGCCATGGCTGTGTTGCACATCGACCACACCGATCCACGCAGAGTGTCGCTCGAGCACCGCAAAAAGTAGCAAAAGCACGCATTTGTTGCTCTTCGACCTCATGCTATGTAAGTGGCGTGCATGCACGCTAGCGCAACTGATTCATTTTGCTCTGCATGTGCTGCGTGCTATTTGGCTGCTCTGCTGTCGTGTATCTGGCTCTGCGTGTGCTGTGTGCGTTTTGGCTGCGCGACAAGGCAAGCGATTTTACTGGAAGAACCTTTCGCAATGCTTTCCGGAAAAGCAGGCTTTCTTAAACATGCGGAAGGGGCGGTTGGGCAATGTATGCTCTTGAGAGGGACCACCCTTAAATATGGTTGGACAGACTAGCATTCAGATTCAATGCCTATCTCTCACGAGCTAAGGAGAGGAAGGCCGCCTTCCGAAATCTGCCAATTACCTTTCACACTGCGGAAATCCAAGATGATGCCTCTTTGGCAGCAGTTGGCTTGGCGGACGGTTTCATTCTGTTGCTCAAGTTTTATCATGACCATTTAGGCATTTCAAGCAGAAGGCTTGCGGGGCGTGTATGCCTTTTTGTTGTAGCTTGCAAGAAGGGGGAGCATGAAGCATTGTGACTTTCAGATTGGCCACCCACCCGTCCTTTGGATTTGATGAGTTTGTCGGGCAGCATCACTCGCCACACCTCATTCCTCGCAGGAGGAGAGCCAGCTTATCATTGATAGTAACCTGGCAGCGCCTGCGCTTGTTCGCATTGGGCGGGTTGTTTTTGCAGGAAACCCTTTGATATAAAGCCTGAACCAATCCCTCCATGTATGGAAGTGAAGAGCCCTTCCCCATGCATGTTCTCGGGGGGGCGGGGGGCAGCATAATCCCACGTGTTTGATGACCATCCGAAACGTGAAAGTCTTGGCAATCAGCTTGAGCCTCCATTGGTGCATGTGCCTTTGTAGTGAAGTCGGTGAAGCCTGAAGTTGAGCATTGAGGAGCCTACCCTCCCCTTCCACAACCAAACCTCCAGGCAAAAGGGACCCTTCAAAAGGAAATTTGCAATTAGTCTTACAGCTACCCTCCCACGGGTGCAATGGCTTGCAGGCATCAGCATAAAGAATGTCCAAAGATGCAGGTTTTCGGCGCAGCATGGTTGCTCAGGGCCATCATGCCATGCTGCTTTTGCGTGTTAACTTCCAGTGCTAGAAGCAAGAACCAGCATTTCGGTTTCAGTGCGCAGCTCAGGTAAAGCCCTCCCGCGCAGTACTATGGAACTCACCAAAAGGAAGGAGGAAACGAGTCGAATCAGGTTCGCCACACAAGAGGAGGCTGAGCACATGTGAGTGAGCTCCATTAATTTGCCTTGTCTTGTTTGCCCGCCTTGTGGCCTGGATGGAATAAGTGATCAAGCTCTGGCAAACCGAACAACAGGCGACAATGACCGCTGGTGAGGATGCTTTCGTTTGGCAAGCCTAAGATCCATTTGCTTCAGTTGCAAGCCTTAAAGCACGCAACAGTCTCTGGTGGCATTGTTCATCACTGGGCCATTCCTCGTTCAAAACCGACCTTGTCCCCTTTCGGTTCTTGACATTTAGTCGTGGTCCCCAGAGGTTAACCTGTTCCCTGGCACATTTGTTTCCCCCAATAGCGAAGGATTCCAGCCCCTATTTCAGGGTCACTTACAGGATACCAGCTGGGGCCAGTCAAAAAGTCCCACACATACCAGCAGATTGAGAGGTTTGGTTTGTAGAGCAGGTGGCTTTTGGATGTATCGTTTTCTGAACCCTGTCACTTTTCATTTGCCATTCCAAGGCATGGTTGACCTGAACATCCGGCAGCTTGGCAAGGTCTTCGGGGGCGAACAGGTTAATAGATCGTCCCCGGGTTCAAGCAGGACGCAAGGGGTGTCCATTCAAATGATATAGTATATTCGAGTGTTCCGGGTAGCCGGGTAGACTAAATACGAAGCATCTCAAAATCTGGGGGTGGAATTGTTCAGCGGGTTTTTATTTTAGGACCACTGGCCAATCTGGCGAACATTTTTCGGTGCTTCCTTCCCCCGAAAAAGGAGCGGCTCTTTTCAAAATGGGACATCTAGCATTTTGGGCCCTGCTGGATAGGGTATGGTCCAAGGCGTATAGATGCTGGGTTCAACATTGGTAGCGTTACCAGCTTGACAACCACCAGGAGCAGCATCGGGACAGCTTGAGAAGAAGCGCTGGCCAAATCCTCCACGTGTAATGTATGGCTTTGGAATTTCCAAACATGGATGCTTTCCATCTATTTCCCCTTCAAACAATCCCAAAAAATGGCTGCAACTGAACAACAAAAGGAACACTTGAACTCATCAGGGTGCAGACTCCACATGCTTTGCAAGGCAGCGCTCCCCGCATCGCGTTATATCATTCCCCCTCTGCCTCCGCGCTATCCTAGGCGCTTGGGCCACGTCACCTTCTTGCCGGATTCCCTCAGGAAGCGAATCATCGGCGGCATTTTCGAGGAAGGCGGCGTTGGAATCGCCGCCCGCCTGAGAAAAGTCTCGTGCTGGCCCAGTGGCCTCATTGAGAACTGTGCTACTCCAAATCCTCTTGGGGCATCGTCCCGAGACCAAGCGTAGTAGTCATATGGGCCACTGTTGACACTCGGTGCACCTGAGCCTTATCTCCGTATCCAGGGCAAGATGGCCGGTTCCAGGCAAAAGGGGCTTACCGTAAAAAATATTAGCCCTCCTTGAGCGGACAAATCCTGCAGATTCCCACGGACCCCCAAAAAGATCATCGTTCGAAGAGTCTCCTTTTGCCAAGGGCCCCTCTATGGTCCTCCTGTCCACCTTTCCACGGAACTTGACTTCCTGGACCAGGTTCCTTTGAAAGAAACCCTTTGGTGGATTCCGGGTTAGTTTGTGGCAAGGTGTCTCGCTTGGCCGGGGTCAACTGCTGCACAAGGCCTCATCCCGATCATACCCTGGCCCAAGGATAGGAAACAAATTCAACGCGAATCCCGGGCACGTGTTGTGCCCGCTGTGTATGGTTCTGTGCTTTCATGGGCAACTCTATGCGGCAAAACATGCTGCTTATCGGGTCTGTGAAGCAAGATCAGCGCCATGGTCATTGTTGCTGCCACAACCTAGGAGCTGTGTCCAACATCTAACATGATCACGAAGGAAATCAACAGCCCTGGCCTCGGAGTTTCAGTCGGGACGCATCCCACCGCATCCCACCCGAAGATTGGATGAGAACCCTTGCAGGTCAGGTATGCAGAAAACCTCTAGACCGCGGAGATTTCTGAGAACTCGGAAGCCTTACAAAGCAACCACTTAGGATGGTTATTGATGGGGATCATTCCCTCACTGCCGGTCGAACCAGCGTCAGAAGTAAGCTTTCCCTCACTCTTCGAGTTTGCTCGACTTGTGGGTTTGGACAAAACATAGTGGGAGCAAGTCTGGGCCCTGGCCAATCCACCCGACTGGAAAGGAAGCCATTCCCCAGGCCTCACGGATCACCACTTCCTGGACTGGTGGCGGCAGTCGCAGAAGGTGCTGCTCAGCCTGGCGCCCAGAAGTGCAAGCAGATTGACAGCCCTGCCCCCACCCAAAAAAAACTCTGCAAGACAAGCTTCAGGTTTGCACTCATCCCAGATCATCCCAGAATGCAGAAGCAGCTTGATGTTGAATGGGCCCATTGTAGAGACACGGTGGGGAATCCTATATACCCGGCCCGAGTTCTACTTGCAGCTGGGGTATTGAAAGGCATGTTGTCCATCAGAACCCCCAGATTCAAGCTAGGTGCGTGCGAAGGCCTGTGATCACTTTGCAGCCCTTCGCGTGAGATGGCTTTCTGCCAGCCCCTCAAATCCAAAAGTTCTGGGCCGAAGAGCCATCTTTACATTTTTAGGGGGGATGCCACCCTCCCACCAACAAAAACACCGTTTCAAGAGGAAAACAGTCCTCCAAAGGTGTATGCTCCAAACCACGGTTGGTGGCGGGAGAGCAAACCAGAGGTTTGGCCTCAGACAGCTGAGGCATCAACACTGACGATGTAGGACGGGGGTTGGGCAATGGCCAGTATCCACCTGAGACATCAGGCACCAAGTCTGTGGGTAGATGAAGGCCAACAGGTTCAGATATCCAATGCCCAATGTTTATGGCAGACACCTTACCAGGCACTTGTTCTGACTCAGGTCTTTTGCATCATCTTTCCTCGAGAGTGGTTGTGCATATGGCCCCTATGGCCTCTTTGTTGAACACTGAAGGCTTCCACAAGCAAGGAGCTGGCGCAGCCTTGAGATCAAGATGTCAGACTTGTCAGACATTTAACATCCAGGCTTGCGTTGAATTGCTTCAATGCTGGGAACGGGATGTGTAGAGGGCGTGCACCGCACCGAATGCACGGTGTGCTTATTGCGGCGAAAACCCGAGGGCAGATCCCTGGGAGGGCTTCACTGAGGAATTTCAACCGTTCACTCCAAGGGAACACCATTGAAACTGGCCAGCTACCGAAAGCTCACAAGACGTCCCTATCTCCCAAGTATCTCCTTGTCTGAATTATTTGCCCTATTTTTCACAAGCGACGCATATCAAGACGACGGTGCAGGTCTCAATCAGTGCCAGTACTCGTACCTATGTGTGCTCCAAACTTTGTTTCATGACGTGCTGATGTCGCTGCTATGTTGCTTGTTCTTGCTGATGTTTGACGTGTGTTCTTATGTCTTTTGGGTTGTTGGATGATGAAAGTCTCCCCCTGAACTTGAGACGAAATCGGACCGATAGCGCTGCCCAGAGAAGTTGGGTGAGAACTCTTCGATCAGAACCACTTGAATCAGAAAGTTTTCTCCGAAACTTTCCTGCGGGGGGTTGATTTGGGAGCCCCTGTTGTCCTTTCGAAATGTGGGGTCAAACCCCGAACCCTGCGCGATTGGTCATAGAATGAGTCTTGCAGGACTTTTCTCGTGCGATCTCTCCTCCGAGGTGTACGACTTGGCCCAGGCATCGAGCCTAACATGCGACAAGGGTGACCAAGAGGAATTTGGTCTTCCAGGTGAATCCTACAGGTGTGCAAAGTAGGTGAAGTTTTTGATGGGCTTGGGCAAGGCGGGAAAGGTTTGAGTCACCGCACTGGTGGAACCACGAGATGCCCGCATCTGAGGCGTTTTGCTTGTCCAGGGACGACCTGATCGATATCCAGCGCCAAGCAATCCAATCTGCGCCCTGGCAGAGCGATATTGGAATGAGGACCTTGAGGGCTGTGACAGAGCTGGAGAGTGTTTACAACTTTAGAGCCTCCGGCTCAGTCCGCCGACATTGTCCTCTCCCTTTTCTCCTTCTTCCTCTCTCTCTTTTCTCCTCCCCGTGTGTTCCCTCGTCCTCTCTCCCTCTCTGTCTCTCTCCTCCCCATCCTCCCAATCCTCTTTTACTCGCTCTCTCGCTCTCTCTCTCTCTCTCTCTCACTCTCTCTCTCTCTCTCTCTCTCTCTCTCTCTCTCTCTCTCTCTCTTCTCTCTCTTTCTATCTCTCTCTCTCTCTGCCTCTCTTTCTCTCTCTCCCTCTCTCTTCCTCTCCAGCCTGTCTCTCTCTCTCTCTCTCTCTCTGTCTCTCTCTCTCTCTCTCTCTCTCTCTTTCTTTCATTCTTTCTTTCTTTCTTTCTTTCTTTCTTTCTTTCTTTCTTTCTTTCTTTCTTTCTTTCTTTCTTTCTTTCTTTCTTTCTTTCTTTCTCTCTCTCTCTCTCTCTCTTTCTCTCTCTCTCTCTCTCTCTCTTTCTCCCTCCTCTCTATGTCTCTATCTTTCTCTACCTCCTCGCTATACCTCATTCCCCCCACCTCGTGTCTCTGCCTCCCCCCGGTCGCTGCCTCTCTCTCTTTCCTCTATCTTTCCTCTCTCTTGCCGTTCTCTTTCCTCTCTCTTTCCTTGCTGTCGATCTCTCTCTCTCTCTCTTTCTCTCTCTGTCTCTCTCTATCGCTCTCTCTCTCTCTCTCTCTCTGTCTCTCTCCCTCTCTGTTTGCATTGCAGCATCATGTCCCCCCTGAGTTGCCTCGACTGCCCCTTCATGACCCCTGAATTGTCTTCGCACTGTCCTTTTCATGTCTCGTCATTTCCCGGGATGTCCTCGTCATGTCCCCGTCCATTCCTTTCAATTCCCCTGAATCATATCCCTGTCTTTTTCTTGGTATGTCCGCTTCATTTTCCATGTATGTCCCTTTATTTCATCTCCCTTCGTGTCCTTTGGTTTCCCTGTCCTTTGTTTGCCTTTCAGTCCCCCGGCACTCGCCTTGCTTTCTTTTGCTTCCCCTTCACGTCCCTTTCAGTTCCCCTTTGTTGCCCTTTCATGTTCCCCTGCATGTCCTTGCATGTCCCTTTATTTCCTCCCCTCATTTCCCTGCATTTTCCCTTCGCTCCCTGGAAAAAAAGAAAGAAATAAAACATGGTGTTTCCACGTTTTCAGCAAAAAGGACGTGACAAAACACAGAGTTTTTCAGATTTTCGGCAAAGGGAGGCAGAAAACCGCGAACCAGCAAAGAACCGGCAGGGGGATTCGAGCCTGGGACCCCTGTGTTGCGACACGCTCCCCGAAGACTTATTTTTAGTGGAATGTCATCAGATTACCGAGCGGTACGTCCCTCCCCCCGTAAACCCTACGTATCAGACGTTGGGCGGTGAAGGGGGCGGCAAGGGGGCGGGGTGTCCTCTATCCTCTCTGACTGAAGTGTCCGACACGCCGAGCAACGTCGGCGGACTTTACTGGGCTTGAATTGCAACTCTCCATAACAGGTTTTCCGGGGGAGGGTCCTGACAATAAACGAAAGAACCCTGTGCGGCGTGGCTTTCCATTTCGCTTTTGCTTGGGAACATCTCCCGTCGCTTCACCGACCTCACGCGTCGTTTCGGTTTCCAATTCTGGCTCACTTGCCCGCCCCCCATGCTCGACCCACCCATTCTTCGGAACCTGGTACGTCGCAGACAGCGTTACAATTGAACGACGTGCTGCCTGGATTGAGCTGTCCCCCTAACCATTTGTGCTGTGAGCGCAGGTGTCCTGTTAAGGTCATGTTGCTTGACACGATTCCACTGGTTGCAGCGTGTTTCATGTTTTATCTACCTCGAGCTCGGCTGCTAGGCACGGCCTCGGATGTCTGGGTTTGTCACCATTTTGGCATGGTTTTAAAGGGGAACCGGAGGCCAGCCACCTGAAGGGTAATCGTTAAGAAACACCCTTCTGAGGCATTTCATCCAGACAAAGAGCGCTTGAGGGATATCTTCGAGAAGATGATGCCTAGCTGCAAGAATTCAAGCGAGACCCGCTGAACCGGCTCAAATAGATAGGTTCCGATATGTTCCGATCGCCTGACAATGCGCGTAGCATCCGCACGGAACCCTACGCAAGCCTTTGTAACTATGCTGGTAGAACCAAAAGTCAACTGTTTTGGGCGCAGCTCAGCTTGTACCAGGATTTCTACACAGGGCACGTCGGGACCCTGAAGTTTGTTTTCTTCGGTATGATTTTCTGTTATGTTCATGCTTGTTGGCAGGCAATGGCCAGTGCTTGTCGCGCAACCTTTACGTACATGTTGCATTAGTTGACGTTGCTTCTTCCTTCGAAGCCGTTTTTTCTTTGGCTGTCTGATCGTGGAAGATGTGCTCATGAGGCTACCAAGCGAAGCTGGCGCAGCTTGTCCGCAGCAGCCGAAGGATGTGCTAACTATCCAGTCCTATTGTTTCCGACAATGCTAGTGACTAACGCAATGGTTCGCTGTGTTCAGTTTGGTTATGGGTAAATATGCCTTGTCTCGAAACTGGGCATCCCCAACAAAAGCATGTTTAGGGGGGTTGGTTCCGCTTTGAACCAACTGCAACCTGGGTACCCTCAAAAGCAGACACACCAGCCCGTTGATACTAGCCGTCATCGGACCGCTTGCCCACACAGGTTTCCAGCCAAACGGGCGATTGGTTCTGTGGGGAAGACCCTCAAGCATGATGCATGGCACGCGCCCGTCCAGAGAATTTGGTGGCAGGAAAATGGGAAGCGGCAGAAGCTGGCATGAAGGGCAGCTTCGCTAGAGCAGAAATGCCGACGTCCCGTGACAGACATTCAAGAGGGGTATTGATTGTGTCTCGTTTAGGGGGGGGGGATGGGGTTCCCCACTTTCCAACCAGATGCATGTTGGGTTCACATGGCTTGCCCAGCGCCAAGAGGGGGAAGGCACCGCAGCACCCTTCATTTTACAAGAGCATTTTCTACAAGTCCAAGTCCTGTTTGAGGTGCAGCGCTCGAGTGAAACCATGCATTTTGCCACGAGCCATCATCAAGCTGAGAGGGTTTGCACGGGATTTCCGTCCCAATACAGTAAATTGGTTTGGCAAGAAGCCCCTTTGATTCTTTTATTCTGCGAGTGTGGGGAACTCGTCGTGGCTGGCATGTTCTTCTTGCGTGCTTGAGCTTTGGTGCTTTCCACGTTGTTTCGAAGGACCAAGCGGGCTGGACACAACGATTCTGACAAGCACATAGAAAGAGTTCAGAGCCGCCAAACGTCTCTTGACAGAATCTCGTGACAAGCAACTGCTCGTATTCATCCACCCTCCAGTGGTCCTCGGGCAATGAACTTAATGGAGAATCAAAAAGATTGGTGGAGCCAAACCAAAAACGATACATGCCAGCCTCGACGGGTGGTTGCTCCTCAAACACTTGTTCAAGAATGCGTCCCAATTTTGCTGGCCATTGTAAGTGTCATACCACTGTGCTCCCCTGCGTTGCTTTCTCGGAGTCCCATCATTTATGCGCCCATGCGATGCTGGCCCTCTGCTGCGCGGGCGAGCAGCAGTCGCGAATGCCTGTACATTCCATGCGATGATGAGGACCCACGAAGAGAAATGAGTGTGTGTTTTCCTTTTTCGGGTTGCCTTGAAGGAAAGAGGAATCCACGGTTTGTTTGAGACACGCCCAAGTGTCCCACACCCTCAGAATTGTTTAGAAGGGGGGTCCGTTTCACCTCGCCACATATCTATCGCCACTCATATCTCCAGTTTGCCTGTGTTCCTCCTCCTCCCGAGTCTGACACGTACTGGGAGCAAGGTCTCCACCAACTGTCCAACAATCCTGGAAGTGGATACAGGGCCTTTTGTAATGCTACGCCTCCTTTTAATAGCACCCTCTATTATAGCAAATTATGTTCGCAATTCAGGATTTTGTGATTGTTTTGGGGTCTTCAATTGCAGCAAATGTTTCCCCGGAAAAAGAAAAAACAAGGAACAGCAGTTGTTTACTCTCTTGATCTTGTCTGGGCCAAACAAACTTGGCAAAGAAGTCGAGCAAGCAAATCCGGGCAAACATAAGGATTTGTTGAAGTGGTCCCCAAACTATCAAATTTAAGAGAAAATCCTTACAAAAAAGTGCGGGCAGTCACAGAAAGGGGGTTGCCCACAAGGGGCCCTGATCCTCTTTAACTAGGCGTGTTTTGGGGGTTGCTGCAAAAACGGTCCTTGGCAATACTAAAGTAGAATTGGCAATACTAAAGCAAGTACTGGGAATCTGAGAAGGGGCCTTTGCAATACTAAAGTAGGATTGGCAATACTAAAGTAAGGAGTGTCCCTCCCAGACCCCCAGGATTTTGCCGAAAGAGGGTCCAGCTGACTGGTTCCACTCCTAGCGATGGGGGGGGGGTGTAAAGAGGGTCCAACATTAGTCTTCCAAAACCCCTGCTGCGCACTTTGGTTGGAAGAAGGCTAAGGTACGTGTAATGAATGAAGGCGAAGTTGCAATGTGTCAACAGCCTGGGCCCCTGAGTGATGTTTGGAAGGCGGTTCCCAACGTGGAACCGTGGAATCCTGACCTCCTAGGCCTGGCACCCGGTTACTGTCCGCTTTCTCTGACACGAACCCTTTGGTCGTCGGGTGCGGCCGAGCTTCAAGGGGACGATGTTTGCCCTTTGGAACGAGGGAAATGATGCATAGAGGGAGGTCCCACGCGTTACGTGGGGCAGAGATGAGATATTGTTTTGAGTGTCAACTGCAACGATGTTTGTTGACATTCACTCCAACAGGCAGAATGTGCGCTGTTTGCGGGATCCAAAGCTCACCCCTTAGCCTTTAAGTCAAATCCTGTGGCCAGGTACATGATCAAGGTATTCCCCTTTTTGCACCCCCCCCCTTCTGAAATGTTGAGGACAATCCGACCGTTTTGGAACAGTGCTGAGGGAAGCCATGCGTTGCCAGGATGACTCCGAGTTCAGCGAAGGCCTGACATTGCACGCACGTGTGGCCATTATTTTTGGTTGTGGGATCCTGCTGTTTGACCCCAACCTTTTTTTGGTTGCCCATAAACCACGACATGAAATGGGTTAATTTCAGTCAAAAACGATTGGCGTGGGGTTGGACAAAGGAACAGGTCTCCAGTCTTGAGCCCGGCGTTCCGCCACGGCGTTGCTTGTTCGCGTGCCTGGTCTTTTGCGTCCCTTTTTGTGAGGAGAGCCGACGAAGTATGCTGCTTGGCGTTATTGTTTGGGGAGCTGAGAAAGGCTAGCACCGCTTGGGAAGTGGCAGTCTAATGAAGCAGAGACACGGGCAAAGACAAGGAGCAAAATGTGTGGCTAAGTGGAACCCTATCAATCAGCTTGTTCGAACCTCTCACTGGCCCAAAACCATACATGTTATTGGCCCAAAAAAGCCAAGGGCGTCAAATTGGGTTTGTCAAAAAAGCGGGAACCCAGAAATTGTGAGATGTTGTTTTTGTTTTGTTCCCCCCCCCCCCGTTTTTCCCCCTTCAACCAACTTGAAAGTGTTCAATCGAACGGACGAACGAACAAACAAATACACACCCACACACAAATCAATTGTGCTTGTCCAGACCCCTTGCTTCTCTTGACACCCAGTGCCAGAGATGCGTTCTTTGTGCCAAGGCCACTGGCCGCGAAGCGGAAGATTGCAATCATGAGGCCTCGCGAGCGCGCTTGTTTGAGTGATCTCCACCCCCAAGCTAATTAATATGGGCTCCCCCTCGGAGGGGGGGGTCAACAGCATGGCCCTTCTCAAGAGACTCCGGCGCTGTTTGTGCCGCCTTTTGAAAGGTTTTGAAAGGGATACCCATCCTCTGTTTGGAAGAGGGGCATTACCACCCTTGTTGCCATGGAGCCTAATGCTCAGACATGGAACACTCTGGGGGCGGGGGGGATTTTGCATGTCGGGAGGGAAGGGCAGTGAAGGAGGACAGAGAACCTCCCCTAGATGGCTCATGATGGCTCCTTTATGACATGTGGATAAGAGGGAGATGCATGGCGGAGCGGGGGCACAGTTTTCCCAGTTGCAGGGTGGTACTCTTTAGCCGCTAACCTTGGCCGGACGATTTTGGAACAGCGTGCCCCAGATCCCCAAGCCCGTACTGGAATTGGGGAACGTGGGGATGGCCCCGGGAGATCTTCATTTGGTCAAGTGGTCTTTTTGTGCGGAAGACACGCAAAATGGAACTGGGGGACTCCACACCCTTTTAAATGAAGGGAGAGCCCCAGCACTCGGCCGACTCCCTCCAATTGTCTTGTGTTTCTGGCCAAAAGGTTTTCAGCATGTGCCCCTTATTTGCCCCTGGCAGATTTGCAACAGCAGCCGAACAGATCACACAGCCCAACCTGGATTCCCTTGCCTTTCCAGGTTTTAGCCGACGCCAAAGTTTGCGCTGGCCTCAGAATTTCTCTGAGTTGGGGGGAAGGGGAACCTCATGGACAAGATTCGGCGAGAATGGATCCCGGCGGGCTCCGACTCATTGTGTGTTTCCATGTGTGTTCTTTTGGGATCTCTGGGTCCCAATTGGCCATGTGTGTGTGTGTGTTTGTCTGAGTTTGCCTTATTTGAAAGTCCGGGGTTCAAGTTTAACGAACAGGCTCCAGCTTGCACCAACGGACAACCATGTGTGTAGCATCCAAAATGTCCCCTTTCCGGCGTGGTGTCGAAGGGAAAGACCAGTTTGGAAATTGGGACTCCGTGTCCCAACCCGAAAATCCCTTTGCCAGAGAATCCTTTATGAAGGGAGCCTTTTGAACGCAGGGAGCGAGCCCAAGCGGGGGGAAAAAATTCAAAAACTCAGGCGTCGAGGAGGACATGTACGATGCAGTTACCGTGGCGGCCTTCGGCGGGGTGGTCCTTGAGCTTCCCAAAGGCAACGGCTTCGGACTCTCGGAGCGGCCCCGATTCGGCCCATTGAAGTTAAGGGGTTGGACGTGTCCAGTTGCCTTTGCCTTTTGGAGGGGGTGGTAAGTGAAAAAGGAACAAAGGGTGCCCCTAGTTTGAGACAAATCCACAAGCAAGCTCGATTCAATAGTGCTTAGAACCACCGCATTTGAGTGCGGTTAAATTGCTAACATGATGTTAAACCGTCGAATGGGGCTTAAACTCATGGGCTTACAGTACAGGAGGTTTAAACCATAGTTTAAACAAGGGGTTACATGATTCGCCCAACCCCGGATGAGAGACTGAGGGTGCTCAATTAGCCTTGGAGTTGGGATATGCCCTCAATAAATGTATGCCTGTATGTATAGATGTATTGTGTGATGTGTAACCCTTCCATGCCCCGATCTGCCTGGTACAAAGCATAGTACATAGTACCCATGCGCATGTGCCTTTTGCCCTTGATACACAGTTGTTGAGTTGAGAGCCCAAGCGTCTCACGGTCAGAGGGAATGCGGCCTGTGATTTCTGTTTGCCCATTGCCAGGCAGCATACGAGTTCATCCCATTTGGCTGGTCTGTTTGTGCATCCCGCTGCGCTTTGGCAAGAAGTCGGCTGCTGCATTTCTCAGGGTGAGGGGGTGCTGTGGCCATTACATATTCCTTTTTCAGGCTGTGAGACTGTCCCCCAATTGGAGAACTCCTTCAAAATGGGTGATGCTCCGTTCACTTCCACCAGCCCCCAAGACAGAGACAAGGGTTCACTTCACTTGATTTCTATTGGGTTGGATCTTTAGACTTTAACAGTTTGGGAATCAAGGGGGTTGCCATTAAACCCACAAAAAGTGAAGCTTTTTGCAGAGGGGACAACAGCAACCAAGTTCACCGGCCAAATGTCTACCCTGGTGCCGATCGGGTCGAATTGGAGTAAACCTGAAGCTGAAAAGGGGTGCATTGAGCCCCACCAAGCCTCAAAAGGATACCATCAAAGAGGTCACAACTTGGGTTCTAACACCCCTAACTTCAAGATGCGTATTCCACTTATCCGGGCTTATAAGGGCTCTGTAGCCTACTCCCTCCAGATAAAGATGGAGCCCAAAATAGGTCACCAAGCACAACCAAGCAGGAAGTCCTTGAAACAGGACGGTATAGGGGTTCCACGTTTTACCAACCTTTTAATAACTTGGCCGCCAAAAGTGAGGAGGTGAGACACCTTGCCGAGGTACGCGGCTCAGCAGGCATCGCTGCTTTACCTGCGGCTGGGCCAGGATTTGGACAGCCCCGTGCACGGGCAGGGACGCTGAGATGCACTGGGCGCCCTGAGTGCTGCAAAAAATCGCAATTAATTGCGGTACTTCGAACAATCCCCACCAAAGAGTTTGGCTTCAGGCGCCAAAAGGTCAATCCGACCACGTGCGGAACCTCAAGCATGCTGCTGGGGAAGAAGCTCAGAAGAGCCGGCAGCGTTGCCCCTGTCGCAGCCGTTTGGACGGGTGAGTGGACGGGTAGCAGCCCAAGCTTGCCGGGTGGACACAAACAAAGATGTGTGACTGCGTTTTAACCATGCGTGCAGCAGCTTGTCACTTGTTTAATCTGCAATGCGAGTCAGAACATCTGATCCGTTTGTTCCCAAGAGAAAAGATTGGGTAAATACCTGTTTGAGAGCTTTGCCCCTGTCTGACACTACCAGCAACCATACTTCATGCCTGGGGTGGGGAAGCCTCAGCACAAAAACTAGAAGAGCAGGTGCCCGAAAAGGACAACCAGTGAAGAGCTTCAGTGTCGCGAATTTCCGAGTCGCAGCTGCAAGAGTCCAGCTGCACGTGCGATCTCAAGACTTCCCGCAGTGCGCGAATGCGATTGGGCGCCCAAAGGGCCAGCAGAAAGGCGGCCACGGGTTACTTCGCCACGGAGCAGTCCCGCCAAGCGCCAGAACCCACGTCTGTGGAGTCGCGGGTTGCAGCGGGCGTGGCGGACGAGCACACGGGCTGCTCGAAACCATGTGTTTGCGAGCAGACCGTAGCAATAGTCAGCAGCTTCTGCAAATCGACCATTTACAGAGGGTGGGTTTGGCCCCACCAGGCCGCCTTAAAGGCCTATCTTTGCTTTCGGGTCCTTATTTCTGGTGTATTCTGGTGCAAGATGTCCCGCGCGAGCTTGCGCGGTTTACTACGCAGGTTCTCTCGCGCATTTTGCTGTGCACTTTCTATCGTTTTTTTTTTTTTTTTGGGGGGGGGGGGGCGTTTTTGATATACTTGCAGTGCGTGTATGTGCGTGTGTTCTCCTGCAACGTACTGGCTCTGCGTATCCTTTCGCGCAACTTGGTTTGCATGCGCTTTTGCGTTACTTGTTTTGCATGCGTTCTGGTGCCACTTTGCTTTACATGCGCTCTCGCGCTACCTGCCTGCATGTTCTCTCTCTCTCTCTCTCTCTCGCTCTCTTTCTCTCTCTCTCTCTCTCTCGCTCTTTTTGTCTCCCTACTTGCTTTGCACCTTCTGTTGTGCATATTGCGCTACATGTGCTCTCGCGCTACTTACTCTGCATGTGCTCTCGTGCATCTTGCTCTGCATATGCTGCGTGCATCTTGCTTTGCATGTGCTGCGTGCATTTTGCCTGCGCGGCACAGCTGGCGATTTGTCCCGGAAGACCCCCTCCTATGCTTTCAGGAAATACCCACAAGTAAGGAACTGCCCAACACACCTCGAGGAAACCCAAATGAACCAAAACACCCAAAGGTTCCGAGCACATGTTTAGGGCAGCATGGGCAGCAATGCTTTTCGATTCCAGGCATGGTTGCTGACATTTTGAGTTGTTGGGTGTTGTTCCCTGTTTGTGTCCATCCCGGGCACGGTTGCTGATGTGTTGTTATGCTGTGTGTGTGTGTGTGGTTTTGGGGTTTGCTGGAGGTTTGCTGCTTTTGTTGATTTCCTCATTTGCTTGTACATTTGCGGTTGTCACAGTGAGATCATAGCTTGGACATGTTCAAGGATGTGGACAAGCATCGCGCTCACAGCGCTTTCAGCATAGCGGATAGTTGGCCAATGGCTGTTCGGCTTTTGTAGGAAGGGCTACAAAAACAGAAACCTCTACATCAACGCTGCTAGAACCAAAAGTCAACGGGTTCGCGCGCTTCTAATGTGTTTGCCTCAACATAGGGAACCGCCTTTTTGGCAGGTGTTTCAAACAAAAGGAACCTAAATACTCTAAAGTTTAGCATGTGGAGGCACGTCTAAATCTGTATAAAAGGGCCAACGGAGACCGCCCATTCAGAACCCTGCACCCTTTTTAGGTTGGGTTTTTAAAGGAAAGCCAAAGCCACCCATGGTGGATTCAGCATTCGGAGACAAACTGCATCAGGGCTGAGGCGGGCGCGGTCGAACAGCAGATGCCTTTTTTCCATCGCGAGAGCTGAAAGGTTATTGGCACCAACTCTGTGAAGGCTTAAAACCAATACAAGTGGTTCCATTGCCAGGCAAGCCCCTAAAATGTTATTTGTGTTGATCAACCCATTACGTGTTCCGCTATGTTCCCTTTCAGAGGGGAAGTTAACCTGGCGGGGGTGTAGGTCTCTTTCATTGAACGTTTACGGCTTGCCCGGAATTTATTCGGATCGATATGTTTTGACCGCCTCGTGGTTTTATGATTTCCCCTCTTTGTTTCCAGGCCCTTGGGAGAGTCAGTTTATAGGTGACCCTTGCTAGCCGCCGCAAATTGCATAGACCTGTGGCAACTTACGGTAGCGCCAAGTCTTGGGCATTGGGTAGCTCTTGGCCGCAGCATAATGTCTTTGCCTAGGAGTGGATGCGGAGCTCATAATCATCCTGCCGTTCGCAAAGGTGCTTATGATTTATGTGCGGCCTGGCGGCAAGCAGCTTGACCTAGGATGACTGAAAATGGGCCCAGCCAGAAAACACAAACTATGTAAGTGTACGATTGCGGGAAGTTCTGTTCTAGGGCCCCTTTCTGTGATACCAAGGTAGCCCCCCCGAAAGTGTCAAAAGTGGTACCGGAATGGCCTGCTGCAGTATCACGGAAGGAATGAGTTCCACAACCACCTGGGTATGTCAAAACAGGGACAACAAATAAATAAATAAAACGGTTGTTTGTTTGGGTTGCCTTACATCAACCAAAACAAATGTACCCTCGCATTACTTTACTTCGAGCAATCCCCACCTTGGCACAACCATAGCAAAGTGACATGCCAATGTTTTCTCACCATCGATTGCTGTGTCAACGCAAAGCTGGCCTGGCAAGTTGACAGCAAAGTTGTCAAGTCGAGCTACTGGCAGGAATGCAAGCTCACGAAAGCAAAGCTGCAACGCGCAGTTTGAGCTTGTGCTCAGCCTTAAGCTAGTTTACTCTTGTCGACAACTTGAGGCACAAACAACGAACACGAGAAGGTACGAACACTGTACTGCAGCAGCGCGGGCCACTTTGCGGTCTGCACTGCACTCGTCCTCCCTACCATAGCAGTTTGAGCTCGCAAGACTCTCAGTACGAGACACACTTTTTAATTGCCTTTATGGCATGTGCTTTCCAATCGACAAAAGTTGCCGCAACTCTTTCCTCCAACTCGCAGTTGTTTTTCTCATTTGTAGTGGACGACCTACATTCAATAGTTTCCCACCTCTTCTGCAAATCTAAGCAAGATCAACGTCTGCACCTTTCTGGCTCTAGTAAGCGTGACACAACTGGCCAGCCAGCCATCATCTTCCAAGAAGCCTCAGCGGCGAGGATCAACCACGAACCCGTTGTGCAATGTCAATCCTTGAGCAGCATACGCTGCGCGCGCCTTCCAAGCGCAATCTTGGTGTCGTCGCCGGCGTTCAAATCGATTTTGAACTCTGCACTCACCAGCTCCACAGCATGTCAGCCGCTGGAGTCAAACGCTTCGGCCACGAAAACATCACCACAGCAGGCAAAGCCATCGAGATGCCTACAAATCCTTGTGTGCCTGGTAGACTTTTGCCACTTCTGCACAAACCACTTGTCACGTGTATTTGTTGCGTCAAACTCATGATTGCGTCAGGCCACACCTAGACACATATGCGCAGAAGCGAAGTTGGGCAAAGATTAGCCTCGAAGGAAGGCTCCCTTGGGCTTTGAATGTACGATGAACAAACCTAAAACCTTGAGTGACATTTGCTTTGTTGTTGCTTTTTAACCCATTACCGCGCGATGCCCCGCTGCAGAGACTGTCCGCAACCAAGAAATCGACCAAAGCACAAGCCGCAGCCGACCTCTTTAAAAGCAGCCCGCGCCATCAGCACGAAGCGCGTGCCAGCCTGACGATGGCGCAGTGAGGGCAGCAGCAAAGCAGAGGAGGCAGGAGCACAACCAGGCGGAGGCACAGGAGGGAGGAGGCGGAGAAGGAGGACGAGGAGAAGGGCAATACTGGCATACAATCTAGAGACCCTCACCTGACACGTCTGGGAAAGCACAACCCCATGTCTACGTGCATAGCGTGGTTCGTGACGCGAAGCGCTTCCCCTGGGGCTGTTTCGGTGCTCCATTCAAAATCATCAAAATTGCGAGGGCAGCGCAGGATGCGCTGGAAAATGGCTGGGTTGAAGTGGGAGTGCTGCTGAAGCATTTGTAGCTCATTGTTTGGCATCAGTTCTGCTCAGACGGCAACTTGCTTTTTCGACTGGCTGGTCCGACACCGCTTCATAGGTGCGCGTATCTAACGGCCGTGTCACCCTTGCTTGACCGGGTTGCAATGTAGAAATGGTGCATTGTGCAGTGCTCCAACAGGGCTCCAAGCTGGCTACAGGGAAGGCCGGAGAAGGGCAGGAATTGGCGAAGACGGTAACACGCCTTGAAGATGCATGTTGTTGTGCACTGTGGTTCTTTCTGGGTGGCTGATCACAGGAAAGGAAAGAACCAGAGTTTTCATTGGCGGGCCTTTTGTGTGCATCATTTTCCTGGGATTTATGCTAGGCGTTGTGAAGGGCTCCCTACAAAGAAGTCCAAAGTACCAGGTTGGCACTGATGCTGTTCCCAGAACTCTTGGGAGCGCTCCGGCTGATGATGTTCCTTGCCAACCCGACCACCTGGACAGACATCAAAAGAGCCCTGGCATAAACAAGAGAATCGCGCCCGACAGGATGTTGCGATCCACAGGCTTTCAAACAACGCCGGCGTTGTTGTGTCGCGGTTGAACCAAAATTACAGGCTGATTGTATGGTCCTGTGTTTGGGCGCATGGCCATTTGGTGACTAGGGATTCGTACCTGGGATCATAATATTTTTAGAGTTTGGCTGAAGTTGCCGGGCACTCTAGGAGTCAATCCTGCACATCATGAGCGCTTGGCCTTCATGTGGTACAGCGGTGTTTTACTGCCTTTGGCCTTCCTGGCCGAGACGCTTAAGTTCACCGTCGGCTACATAGCTGCTTGGCTCAGTGTTTCATGGGGAAGAAGATGAAAGGGCACCATCTCTGGACGCCCCACTACATAAAAGAAGTTAGCAGAGCCAGGTAGAACGTGCGGCTCCAGAAGGCAGCCTCGCTTCGCCGAAGAACTTCGCAGAACCCTTTGCAGAACTTCCATGCAATTACAACAGTAAAGATCCCGCTTTGCAGAGCCGCGCAGAAGTGCTGCGCAGAACTACTTTGCAGAATCCCTCGCCGAAGCACAAAACAGTTCGCAGACCATAGTCCGCTGTCGCCTTTCGATTTTTCGCGACTCATGGGTAGGGTGTTTCTAATGCTTTTGTTCGGTACTTCTGCGTTCAGCCCTGCGCACGCGCACGATGTGAGCACCTTTTCGAATTTGTGCAGGTTCTAGTGGACTCTGTGAGTGTCGTCCTGGTGTGCGACACGGTGCAGGCCCGAGTTATCTGCTGCGTTGCTTTCCACAGGCCTGCGCAGCCTCACTGTGACCAGCCTCTGCAGAGATGCTGGTGTTTGTGAACGGCTGGACATGCTAGTTTACCCGCGGGGCTGGATATGTAAAGGCAAATATCAAGCATTCCTATTAACCGCCCGTGTATCACAAAGCGAGTTGCCGCTATGCAGGATACTCTGTTCAACAGCTTGGCACTGACCTTCCTTGCTGACCTGGACAACAAGTTCCTCAGCAGCAATCAGCTAGATAAACTTATTCAGAATCAATCCACAATCCTGTCATATGGTAGTGGGTTGCCGTGGTTTGCCTTGCTGGGTGCCCTCTCCCCGCTTTTGTTTCACAATTTGCTGGGTCCCACCCAACTTCCCCATGTTCCTGCAGGGAACAACACATATGCCAATTGCATTGCGGGCTTACGTGGAGGTAATTTTGCTCACCATGAGGGCCCTTTACTTGGGATGCAATTCTTATTTCAGGGATTGATATTGAAAACAAGCAGATTGGTTACTCAGGCCATTAAGGATCCTGGGTCTTGGCGAGTTGGCAGGAGAATATTGTGTATACGTGACCCTTGTGCATACCGAGGCTGTGGGAGATCGCAAAGAGCGTGCCCTGGATGCCTGTATGTGGGATTTTTTGTAGGTCCCCAGTGGTTCATTGTTGAGGGGGTGCCTGTTTGTGTTGACTCCAACCTGTTTTCTGGGCCGAAGCAGAAAGGCTAAATGGAGGTCCGTCAATGGGTTGGGCTTGGAGAAACAGGGCCCCCATTTTGAGGGGGTCCTAAAATTACTTTTGGGGGGCGATGTCCCTTTAAACCAGGCTGTCAGTCTAATGGACCCAGGTTTTTGATGTCACGCCCCCAACATGAATAGGTGGCAGATTTGGCGACCCTTCCTCGCCTAACATGGCATTTGTGGGAGGGTACCTGGAAGATCAGTTTGCTTTTGAAGGGACTAGTGGGAGAGAGGGTACCAGTTCAAAATACATCTAACGCATGCAGAGGACTGTTATGTCTGAGTTGATCATCCGCCTTGGCTGCCTTTTGCGGGTCGGGTTTGGGCCATCGCTGTTTTGATGTGCCGACAGTTTAGCTCGGGATTGTGTTTGTTCAAAGCGATCACAGGCTTTTGAGGGCTTGCCTTGTGTTTTGAGGGCTTGCCTTGTGCTTTCTGCTACCGGATTGTTTGGTGTTGGCAACTCGCTGTTTGTTGTTTGAACCTTGGCTCTCGACTCCAAACTGGCCATGTGCAGGTTGTTCTGAGCTTCTACCTCACACATGCATGCATCCAGCATTGCAGATCTAGATACTAGATACATACACATACATAGAAATACATGCGTTGCGTACGTACGTACATAGATACATACATACACACTTTCACACATACACATCCACGTAAACACAGAGACATTTGCACTTGTACCCCTGTATGTATATATATATATGTGTGTGTGTGTGTATGTACATGTATATGTGTGTGTGTGCATACATAAAGTGCATCTGTGTTTAAGTACATATACATACAAATGTATGCATTCATGTTGGAAGACCTACCTGCCGTACATATACGATACGGAACACACATACCATTTGTAGCTACTAGACGTGACACACATACAATACCATACGACACCATGCCATACACACACCATTTATATACCATACATTTGGATGAGTTTTAACGACCTCAAACGATCTCACCCCAAATGGTGGTTTATGTGGGGAATAGCCCCCGAACCACCTTATTTCAGGCTGGTGAAATATTATACTTCACCTAGATACATGCCATACTACACTGACACTATACCATAGCATGCCATGCCACACACAGACACACATGCATGCGTACATAGACACACAGGCATACAGACACACATTTGCGAGGACCACCCACTCTTGACACTGTTTGAGCGTCCAGCAAAACTACTGGTAGTCTGTTTAACGTGCATCAATTTGTCCATGGCCCGTTTACGCGGAAACACCCAAGCTGGCGCCAAGGAGCTGGGGGTGTCCAAAAGTTCTCTTTGGGAGCTTGCAGGATTGCATTACCTCACCTGGCGGGTTCGGGACTTGGTCACATGGAGGTTTGTGGCAGGTCTTCCACCTCAAGTACTCCGAGCCGGTGGGGTTCCAGCTAAAGCCAGTCAAGGAGAGGAGGGAGGCTGCGGAGCAGGCGCGATCGGCGCAGAACGTTCGTTCTAATGCCCCGAGTGCAAGTTTGGGCCAGCAAAACAGACGCGTGTACACAAGGCAGGTTGTTTTTGGCTGAACCATTTGAGGCACCTGAGCCTGTACGGAGGCAAAACAGGATCGCCTGATCGGTTTTGCAGGAATCCGAAGCATTTCCGTGTCGGAGTCCGTGGTCCATGTCACACAAATGAGCCACACATTGCGCCGATCTTCTCTTAGACGACGTGTCGTTTGGGCCTTAATCAAGCTGGCCCCGGATCTCGCATCCAGGCCTGCATCTCCATTTCAGAAGACTCCTGGCTGCACCGACACCAAGGAGCAGCAGCCATCGAAGCATCGATCACGCCACCCGGCCCTAGATGTGAGCATATCCATCCCCCTTTTGGCATCAGGAGGTATGCAAATAGGAGCGATAGAGCACCCATCAAATTAGTTCCGACCTCGTGCAATGTTTGCTCTGAAAGTTAAGCAGTTGTGTGCAGCACAATCTCCGGTGAATGATCGCTGCCACCGGAGGAGTTGTTCAACTGGGACTAAACATACTCATTCCCCCGTAGGATCCAGATCGAAGATGCTGACACCACATATTTTTGGGGCAGAATGACCACTGCCGATTGAGTGCTCCCAACACAACATGTATTTTGCCTGCAGGAAAAGCCTGTCTGCAACACAGCTGCCAGCAAATTGTCGAACAACCCACGAGTCACGAGGTGTCGCGCTACCGTGAACATGTCCAATGTTCGTAAATTAGATTCCCATTTTATTTCGCATATGGGTTGGGGACCAAAACAGTTTCGGCACTTGGTCTTGCAGAGTCTAGGTCGATCATTTTCATGGGCTGCTACTGCCGGCAGTTTCTGGCGGTGGCCTGAGCTTGGCTGCGCACTTTGACTCAGTGCCTTTGGGAAGTTGCCAATCTCGAATTTGAAGGTGCCCTCAAGTATTTCCAAATGTTTCAATCCCTGCGCTGAAGTCCAATCAAGAGCCTGGGATTCCTGTTGTGACGGAGACTTTCACGCATTCTTTTGTTAGGTTGAATCTTGGCCAAGGTGACCCAGTACTCATTGCAGACAGACACGCTTCCAGTAGCTAGCCAGTTCCTCAGGGACAGTCAGCGTGGCATTCGCAAGGGGAGTAGACGCAGCAGTAGCACATGCAGCCACCGTTTCACGGCTCAGGAGATATGTGCACTTTGTGGGAGCTTACAGAGTCGGATTCATGGTACGCCATGTTGGGTCGCACTGTGCTCAGATGCCTGGCCGCAAGCGTTGTGTCGTTGCTGCGAACGAGTGGCTGACTAAATTTTGCAACTCGGCAGTCCGTCAGTTCTGTCAGGGTAAGGAAGCTAGGCTGGGAAGGCTTGGCCCAGCAGCGGTAAAGACATGTCTGAGCTGAATGGTCAAAGCAAAGCAACGCCCAACACCACGCCGTTTGGGGTTGCGGCTTAGTGAGGAAGCATGGGGTTGTTATGTGGGATGCTCATCACGCGAACGCGAAGCAAACTTGTGAGATGCGAGGATCTGTGAGCATGCCGCTCAGCAGCAAGTTCAGATATTGCGTGTGCACGGCTCAATACAAGGCTTTCCTAGCATTGGGTCATTGGGGTTGCGGTGGTGATATCTGCTGGGTCCGACTCTCTGTGTCCAAGTTTGGTCGCTTTGAGCTGCGGAGCCCGTTCCCCGGGGTTGCAATTGCTCGCCCAAGGTATGTGCACCCAAATGGGATGCTGCATCTTGGACTGTGCCGTGATCACTGGCAGTGTTGTTCGTCAAAGCCTTGTGCGACATGTGTCAATCCATGCTTCTATTCTAGCCACGCAGTCGGTCATACTCAAATCAAGCAGCTCAAAACAGCTGCGATTGCCCGTTACTTGGAGCCTGAACGCTCCAAGGACTGCTTCAAGCAACCATTAGGAGTATACTGCTGGTCAGACATTTCCCCAAAAGGACACCATAAGGGGATTGGCGGGATTGGCGTTGGTTTCTAAGCCCCCCAAGTAATTAGTTGTATTCGCTGCTGTTAGTGCCCGCACGATCAAGGAACCGTGTGTGCAATCCAGATCTGGGTGGCTATTGCAGCCCTCTCTATCGCCGCATACAGCTGTCGGACATGATGGACTTGATATCCAAGCATCCTACAACCACCGCCGCTTGTTTTCTGATGGTGTAAAGAGGTGCTGCATAGAGAGGTGCGTTTACCTAATCACGAACATGGAACCTAGAGAAGAGGTCCCCGGGAGGAGATTCCTCCAAAGATGCAGGTGTTTTGGGTTCCATGTCATCGTGCGCTTCAGCATGGTAGTTATCCGCTGGTCGCTACTGCATGGAACCCATTGAAACATGGATTGCTTGGACCTGGGAAGTCATGTCTGGCATGATCCTCATGTTGAGCCTGATATGACCCGAATGTTGAGCCAGTACAGGATTGCTTGGAGGAGTCAACCCCAATATTGGGCTCGGTCTGGCTTTTTGGGTCCAAGTCTGGCTCCTGCTGGCTCCTTCAGGCTCCTTTGATACAAGCCAACTGGGTGCTAGATAGAAACAACATGTTCCAACAAGCAAAAAGGGGATGAATAGCTCAGACAGATGTAACGGACTCGAAGCAGCTACCACTCATGGAACAATGATTGATTGGGGGATGGGTACCTACCGCCCACCCAACATGTAACCCGACTGGCTCCTTGGACGGCCATGTTTCTCTCGATGCTTCTGGTGGGTTCCATGTTAGTTGGAGAGTAGTTGACGTGATGTTTACTTCTCCAGACCCTCTATTTGACTTTATGTTTTTGTTCATTGAATGCCACGGTCCACAAAGTTCAGGTTGCCAACATGGCCTCTCAGCTGCAGTTCAGGAAAAGGGTGCGGCGATCCAAGTTTGACGAGACCTGGACCCTCAAGCTACCCTCAAGCTGCCCTCAAGCTGCCCTCAAGCTGCCTGTACGGCCATCTGAAGCAATCCATTTCCAGTTTGGGAGCGCCCTCCACGCCCATATTACACAGTGCCAAGCTTTGGCATAGCAGGTTGCTTCCATATCCGTTTTCATCATTTCGTTTGTTGTTGGTAATGTTACACCATTTTCCCAGCAAGTGGTGGCGTTCTTTGGTTACCTGGTTGCTCTTTGAGTTGATTGATCCCTCCTCTTTTTTGCTGGAGGTCGAAGGCTGGGATCCCTGCAAAGACATCAGGGCCCCAAAGAAGAAAAAAACCTGGCCATCTCCTGTGGCCTTGGTTCAAACAACCGCCTGTTGGATCCTGTTGGGTTTCCCTCCGAAAGCAGCCAGGGTTCGATTGCGGGTTTTGCAACCAAACTCTAGGTGACCTTTGGCCTGATTCTGCTGATCCCCCAGTTCCTTCAGATGTCCGTGGCCTTGAATGCCTGTGGCGGCGGAAACTTGGGCAGCTGCTTCAGGCCTGACATGCCCGCCGCTTGCTTCTTTGGGAGCAGGGAGGGGCGTTGCGGGTTTGGGCTTTGGTATGGGGATGTGGGGATTGGGGCTTGTTGTTTGAGGGTTTGGGGGGATGGCTGTGAAGTCAAACATCTCCGCTGATATTCCCAACGGAGATGTCGGAAAGAAGCGATAGTTTTCAGAGCTTGCTGTTTGCATTCCAGCCTTCCGCATTCCAGCCGTCCGCAGGCTGGAGTACGATCATGAGGACGCTGGCGTGAGGCTTTTCAGATAGATGTGTCACCTTTTCCTGGGGTAGAATGCTTCTTGGACCTTCAAACTTCCAAGTTGCTTGGGACAGCTCCTTTTTTCAACCAAGTTGCAGCAAGTATGCCCCGTCTGCAAAAAATCGCTCTCGAAGCTGGGCAGATGACACGCCTCGCCAGGAGGACGAGCCTTTCGCAAAGCAAAGAGAGGCGGATGGCAGCAAGCTGTCGATGAAAGGTTTTTGCTATTGGTTTGCGCTTGCTGCTTTTTCTAGATTGATTTGCGTGAAAAAGGTGGAGGAACTCAGAGAAGAAGTGCGGCTTCTGAAAGAGCAGCTGAAGAAGTCTTCGCGCCTCGACAGTCAGGCGATTGGCGAAATACGAGCAAAAACCGAGTATATGTCACCTTGTCATGAGCCATGCGTATCAAGCAGATGGCTCGCATTGTTTGCCTTGCTGAAGCATATTTCTGCTAAGGAATGTGCACTTTTCTTCTGCAAGCCCTACCCCCAATGTGACTGAGTCGCAATTATTATGGATTGTGCCAATAGCATTGCGATTGTGTGACTGATCTGTGAAAATGGCATGGCATCCCGAGTCACCACACAGCTGAGGGAATTCGCAATGTACACGTCAACATGACGTGACAAGGACTTGAAACCATCATAAGATTCTTGAAAACGAATATTTGTTTGGATATGTTGGGTTGGCTGTTAAAATCACATATTAGGATAACGTGTTTCATTTCATTGGTGCTGATTGTCGTTGTTGTTCGGATGCTTTTGCTGTGCGCTTGTTCGCACACGCACACAGCCACACACACACACACACCCACCCACCCATCCACGCACGCGCGCACGCACGCACGCACGCACGCGCACCGCCACCTGGGAATCCTAGAGCCTCGCCATCACCAACTGCGCTGGTTGGCTGCAGAGCTTGCTCACCCGCTCAGCCAACCTCCCTCCACTTAGTCCCCCTTCCCACCCTTCCCACCCCGCCGCCCACCCGCCCCACCCTAGCGCGCCTGTGCGTGTGTGTGCGCGCGTGCGTGCATGCAGGTTTGCGCGTTTGCGCGCGAGCATGCGTGCGTGCGCCCGCCCGTGCGCGCGCCGCACGCAAGCACGCGCGCACCCAAAGCGTGCGCGCGAGCGTGCGCGTGCGCATCCAAAGCCAATTAGACGAAGACTGCATCCCTACATCCCCTCTCAGCCCCACAGAAACCCGTCGAAAAATGAAAAACATGGTAATTGCAACGTTTTCCGCACAGTGGCAGCGGCCCCGCTTTCGCAAAACCCCGCTTATTTGATCGCAAGCCCAGGGATGCTTGTGAAGTTAGCGAGGATATGGAGGATGTTGGATGCTGGCGACAGCCGGGGGCGATTTGCACGGTTTTGAAGGAAAGAGTAAATCAGTGTCTGTTATTGGATTGTAGATCCAGCTACGCTATGTGTTCTCGAGCTGGAAGAGCGAGGGCAATCCTTTTCTTCTGACATTTGGGCCCAAAACATCTCCAACAGTCCTTGCCTTGCGACGGGTTCCGGATGCTATGTTGCCCAATGGAATGATTTGTATACATCGCGTCAATCCTAAAAGCTGGAATTATTTAATAGTCGAAACGAAAGGCGAGAAATCGAACGATTTATACATGTATATTATACAATTTTGAATATAAATAATGTATATAATTAATTCTAATTAGTGTTATTAAAAAAGGGGGGAAAAAACACATTAAATATATATTATATATTTATTTTAAAAATCATTTTATATTTATTATTAATTTTGTATATGTGTATTTTGATTTCTTTCTTAATAATTTAAGTTGTTTAGGTTGATTGGTTTATTAAAGATTGAATTAATTAGGAAGATGGGAGTGGATTTTTTGGATCGATTAAGGGGGAACGAAGGGGGGGAAATTAAATTTTAATAAAATATGTGGTTTTATGAATTTATTGTGTTTGGATTGAGAATAAATTTATAAAAAGTTGATATTATTTATTTGATAATAATTATTTACTTTTATAAAATTATTAAGAAAACAATATAATTGAAAATTATAGGTTTTATAATTCTTTAGATGTTAAATTTATTGGGGGTAATATTTATTTTGTTTGGGGTGTTATTAGAAATGGTAATATAATTCTTTATTTGGTTTTTAATTATTTGGAATTTATTTTGGTGTATTATATTCTTATTATTTTAAGTCGAGATTATGTGGTATAAAAATAAATGATATATTATATATTATGAGTTTTTATTATTTATATAATTTTAGTAAAATACGATAAATAAATGTTTTGTTTGGTTATTAAAGTTTATTCTTTACAAAATGTTAATAATTCTATAATTATATTTTAATTTTATTTAATATATCTTTATGATTCGATAGTGTGTTTTAATTTTATTATTATATATATATATATTAGTATAGCCAATAAAATAATATTTATAATATATAGATATTATTAAATTAATTATTTTTGGTAGAATTATTATTTTTTGAATTATAAAGAATGCTTGTTTTTTTTTGTGTGATTGATTTGGATTTTGTTTTCGAAATGGTTTGGACGAGATTGTATTTATCGATTTTGTTTTTATTTAATATTTTCGAATATTTAATTTAAAGATTTAGATTAAATTATTTATTATATCTTAAGAATTATTAAAATTATATAATAGTTAATTAAGGAAAATTATAATTTCTTATAAATATATATATATATAAATTATTTATTTTAATTTATAAAATAAATTTAGGAATTATATAATACTATTTTTATATATCAAAATTAATTAAAATAATTTATTAAATATAACAAACAAATAAAAATAAAATATCTAATATATTTTCCTTAAAATATATATTATATAAATTATATAAAATAAAATATATTAATATTAAATATAAATATATATATATATTCTTTATTGTTATTCTAATATTCTCAATGTGTGCTATATCTAAAATCCGCCGACATTGCTCGGCGCGTCGGATACTTACTAGAGGATAGAGAATAACCCCCCCCCTAACCCCCCCCCCGCCCGACGTCTATTACGTTGGTTTTGGGGGGGGGGGGGGGGGCCAAGTACCGCGCGGCAATTTGATAACGTTCCACTAAACGTAGTCTTCGGGAAGCCGGTGTCGCAAAACAAGGCCCCTGCCGGCTTTTTTGCTAACTTGGGCTTCCTATATTCTTTTGCCGAAAATCTAGAAAAACTCAATGTTTTTGGACGTCCTCTTTGCAAAAACGCTGGAAAAATCGTATTTTTTTGCGGGAAATACTAGGGAGCAAAGGGGAAGTGCAAAGATACATATATACAGACATACATTACAATACATTACATTACAATAAATTACATTACATAACATTACATAACATTACATACATACATACATTACATACATGCATGTATACATGCATAGTGCATGTATACATGCATGCACATATATATACATACGTACATACATTATATTACATTACATTACTTTACTTTACATTACTTTACTTTACTTAACTTAACTTACTTACTTACTTACT